GGGGGGGGGGGGGGGGAGGGGCAAAGACGCCAACATGTGTGTGTAATATAGTAACACTTTAAAACAGTAGCGATTGATACACCGGGTGGAAAGCGTAAAAATTGCCCAGCACATGACTTTCAGACAAGACATAACAAAAATAAAAAATTTATTGGCTTACGTTTCGTTGTATTGTTCACAACATCTTCAGAGCAATAGAAGAAGTTGAAGATGTTGTGAACAATATAACGAAACGTTACGACTCGTTAGCCAATAAATTTTATATTTTTGTTATGTCTTGTCTGAAAGTTATTTGCCGGGCTTTAATTTTCATTTTTAAAGTAGCTACACTTTAGTTTACACCGAAGTGTCTACGGATAAATAAATACTGCCAGAGTCGACTAGGAGATCAAAATACGGATCCAAGTCGAAATTATTATTACGTTTTCGCAACTCAATTTTTGCCATGATTGTAGGTGTAAAATTAGACTGACATGATTCATACTAACTTGCATCAACAACGCAGAAATCTTTGAGGCTCAAGGTTTATCATTTCCTATATGATTACACTGATAATTGCGAACAAAAAGCTAGCAGTTTAAACGGCCATAATAATTCTGTTCAACAGCATTTCAACTCTTCAGTTTTTGCCAATTTACTAATTAGCCTTTCTCATTAGCCTTTTTGGGTGGCTTTTCAGCCGAAGTCTGCGAGATAAGTCCACATAACAGCGACTTTTTATGATTTTTGCCACTACACACCTCAAGCGATTTAATGATAGCAAAGATTCCAACTGGCCAAAAAAAGCAAAGACAGGCGAAGATTGATAGCCCCATTTGATCATTTACAACAGGAATCACTGCAGTTACCACTTGAGGTCGAGTCTACAGGAACGTAAATTAACAATTTTGTCAATTTATTAAAATACTTTGGTGTTTATTACATTGTATATTGTTTAAAACGTTTAGTGCATCGAATTAAGTTCTGTATATCATGCATACACATTATACGATGGGCCAATTATGCATTCAGTTAACTCTGGCAAAATAAGACGAACTTTTGCTAATTTCGCATTCAATAGACCTTACCGTTTATTGACGTTTGACCCAATTGCCTCGTTTTCGTGTCAGGTATTTACTTGTGTTTCGTGCACAATAGGGTTAAGAACTTACTTGTTATTGGGCTTAAGATCAACCAGGAACCAAATCGTGAAGGAAACATGGGAATATAACCTTCATGGGCGCCTGTCATGCCAAAACTGGCAAACACAAAAACGAGGCCATTAGCCATTCCGAAGTTGATGAGTGGACTGGGGACGAGTGTTAAAAAGTGCCCAAATTAAGAACTGAACCAAATCACTGCAAAGACCACCTCACAATTAGTAAGTATACAAAGTTTGAAGACGTTTACATGAATATTCTTCGAATAATAAGCTTTCGAAAATCGTGATATTTACTGTAGAATGTATGGTATTTTTTTGTTTTTGGGACGCGCGTCCCAAAAGCAATCTTTTAATTAATCAGTAATTTCACAATTTTCGAAAGCTTATTATTCGAAGGGTATTCATGTAAACGTCTTCAAACTTTGTATACTTACTAATTTTGAGGTGGTCTTTTCAGTGATTTGGTTCATTTCTTAATTTGGGCACTTTTTTAACACTCGTCCCCAGTCCACTCGTCAACTTCGGAATGACTAATTGTACTGCAGTACATTAATGATTTTCCCAAAACAAACGAAATAGCGGAAAGTATTTTGAACACAAATGTGAAATAAAATTGCCCCAGAAGAACTAGATGAAAATACGAACAAAAGCACCAAATTTTGCTTTAACAAAAAAACTAAATGAAAATACGAACAAAAGCACCAAATTTTGGTTGAAACTCTGGCTGGAGTGGGCATTGGCGAGAGAATATGATGTTGACATTGAGAAGCATCCACTTTTGTCATGCTAATAATAAACAAGTAATCATGCGATGTTGCTCGTACATTTAGGGATTAATAGTACTCCAATTTTGGCAAAATTTCCAAACATCACTCGCACTATTAATCCCTAATTGTACTCGCAATCGCATGATTACCTATACAAATATATTTTCATTTGTGATGCATGACGAGCAGTCTTACTAAGCTATATACTTACTTGGATTTAGCTTTTGGGCAATGAGTTTGAACGTCCGGCCTACATGCTTTCTTGAACTTTGATGAAAACTTATAATCTTTTAACTCGATCTAAAAATGAGTTGAAATATACAATTGCTGTACAAAAGATAAAACTGTAATTCAAGAGCGGTCTCGAGAGAGACTAACCTCACTGTCAAGCTAACTTCATTGGATTAGATTATAAAGTTTTTTACCGAAGTAACCGGAGAAAACTTGCGCCCTATTAAAACGCGTAAACATCTCCCAGCTTGTCAATAAGATGTGATCCCATTGCTTGTTCCCAGTTATTGACAAGTCTGGAACAAGTTGTTATCATCTTTTAACAAGGTTGATGAGGTCAACAGATTCGCAACAAGTTGTCCCAAGTACTCCCAACAAGTCTGATATCGTCTGCGCGTAACTAGGTAAGTAAGTTGATGACAACAAGCTCGTAGCAACTTCTTGCAAACAGCCTGTATTAGTCTTGTTGGAACAACTTGTAGCAAGTCTGTTACCATCACCAACCGTGTCAAAGTGAAAACAACTTCTTCCAGACTCGCTACAACAACTGGGAGCAAACACATCCTGATATGGACTTCACAACAACCTCGTAACAATCATGTTTCGCTCGCTACTCTGGTTTAAATAAATGATTACAAAGCCAAGTCGAATTGTAATCAAGACCCAACGTTTCGACACTCCAGTGTAGTGTCTTCATCAGGGGTAATCTAAAACTGCGATCGTGGCTTCTTAAATACCCAAGGGATGACGTCACCTGCCAAGAAGATGCCATATTTTCGCAAAGCCAAAAGATCCTGTTGAAACAAATCAGAAGGCTCATGCTATATATTCTATACCATGCGGTGACTGCGACAAAGAGTCTAAACGCCAGTTTGGTACACGGCTAAAAGAACATCAAAAGGCTGTTTCAACTTTAGACAAGGGAAAATCGGCTTTAGCCGAACATGTATGTTCGAGATTGCGTGGGAAAACTCTAAAGTAATTACCACAAACAATCGCTATGGTCAAAGACTTTGCCTAGAAGCGTGGCATATAAATATGAGTCATCATGCTTTGAATAGGGATGACGGTGCCTATTTGCCAGAGGAATATATGCATCTTTTTGGCAGGTGACGTCATCCCTTGGGTATTTAAGAAGCCACGATCGCAGTTTTAGATCACCCCTGATGAAGACACTAGACTGGAGTGTCGAAACGTTGGGTCTTGATTACAATTCGACTGGGCTTTGTAGTCATTTATTTAAACCAGAGTAGCGAGCGAAACATGATTGATATACCTGGTTGCAGTGAACGAACAAACTTTACAACCTCGTAACAGCTTGCCTGTTTTAACGTGTGTAGAGTCAAAGTGGAAGACAACTACTTTTTAGGGATCAAACCTCCGTTGCACGTGAACAGACACACGCAAAAACCACCGTACCACCAACTTCCCTTACTGAACGAGTCTAATATCTCCTTACCAGTTCTCGATGATCTAGTTCAGCGCGGCATTTCCGGTCCATCTTATAGTCATATTTATTCTCAAAAAGACAAGGTAATATTCCATCTGCCTGGTTCGTCTTTAGCAAGTCCTGCGAGAAAATATAATTGACTTACCGACTGACCAATCGACTGACTGACCAACTAACTAACTGCTCAACATATACTGAACAGTCCAGTTAACTGCCTGATCGATCGATCAACATACTAAAAACATAAGTGAATTACCGAGCAGAATTCTTTCACCATCTCAGAACAATGTTTCACTATCGCTTTGTCAAGGTCGATATCCTGAAAAAATTAAGAACCAACAAACTATCAGAATAAATATTCTTACCACTCAAATACATATCAGTGGTGGATTTATAGGGGGGGGTGCACCCTTGTTGGCCTTGGCCAGTGCCAGGTTCGGTGTGGGTGCAGCACTGCTACATATTCAGGTATCTGCTGTATCTACATTACCTCGCTTTCTTCCTGGGTAAATTCTCCAATACTTGTCTGACATCTCTCTTGCAACTTCTCATAGTTATCTTGTAAACACTTGATTTCCTGAAGAAATATTTCGAACCTGGTCAAACTCAACCTTGCCAGGCCTTAAAATATCTTTTACAGGGCCGTCTGACAAAATGTCCGGTGACGTTGAGTTTGGGTCGGACATATGTCCGATAACCTTCAGTTCAGTTTTGGCTCGGAAATAAGTCTGAATGACACAAATGAATAAACGGTAAATGTTGTAAAGATACTAAATAATTTGTTTCTTTCATACTTATTTCCAAGCCAAAATTAACTTGCGTGTTAAAAAAAGACTTCGACAACTTAAGTCCGTTTTCCACTTCACCATTTCGCTCGCCGCCCCGCGCTCGACTCCGTTAAAACAACATTTCCAGTTCACCTTTTATACAATAGTACTCTGATTTTCCATTTAACATACAAGCCTCTAGTCCTGGGCTAGGGTACATTTTGATTTACGTCGGACAAAGCTACAGTTCGGTCGGACACCAATTCACTCGGGTCGGACAAACAATAAACCTCAGTTTCATTTTGGTCGGACAGAATGTCCGGTGGTTTCCTCTCTACGTCGGACAATTTCACAAATGGGTCGGACAATGTCCGTGACCGACCGATATTTTAAGGCCTGAACCTTGCTACAGTAAATTGTATTGTTGTTCATAAAAAAGATTACGTATGCATTTTTCTACTTTAGTTATGGCTGTTAATAACCATGGCAAACTCTTGAGGAAGAAACTAGTCTGTAGTCTTGTTTGACAATCACGTCACTATTACTACTGAGGAAGAAACTAGTCTGTAGTCTTGTTTGACAATCATGTCACTATTTCGTTTCCTTTCTGCAGTTGACACCAGCTGCTACTTCCAAATGCTCACATATTCTGGTTTGCAGGTGGCGTCATAGCGGCCATGTTGGAGGAACGATAACAAAAGAATCTCATTAGCAGCTATTGTATTTGGAGCGTGTTTTCCTCCATCATGCCTGGCCGCCATAGATTTGTCTTATATATTTCATGGGATTTAATGCAAACCACCAATTCCATCTACACGTGTGATGCAAGATAATCAAATAAAAGTGACCAGTACGTCATGTAGCATCATACCTCGCCCGGCTCGACTTTCTCTGCACAAAGCGTAGTAAGATCTGAGATGCAACTTAGTTGGATGTGAGGCAACAGTCTGACGTCAGAGGCTCTCTGGTGCATGGTTCTCATGACTTCCGCAACGCACACTTTGCTCACCTGAGAAAATATGAATGCAAGGATATTGAAGTTTGTCATCCACTGTCATTGACTGTCATCCACTGTCACTGACGGATCAAACTACCAGGGATCGGTTGTACGAATGGTTCAAAGCTGGATTAGCGCTAAACCTGGGTTAAAATGTAACACGCTGTTTTGATTTGGGTACATTTGTGCCTCTATTCTTTCCGAAACTTTGGAAAATAAAACTTTTATTGATCCAGACATGAATTGTGGAAAACTATCTTCATGTTTCTAAACAGGCTGTTGGGAAGATTGTTTTTCGATTTTTAAAGGCACAATTCAGCCTTTTGAATGAAAACATTGAATTTACTAATCTTGAATTATGCATAATTGATTTTCCTGATTAGTTTTTCAATTAAAAGGCCTGAAATGTGTCTTAAAAACCATCATTCAAAAGGCTGAACTGTGCCTTTAAGATAACCGGCATTCGAACAACCAGTCCCGGATAGTGATTTTTCAAGCTTTCTAAAACTGTCCGTTGATTGGTGCATAGCCTATCGAAGGGAAAATGGCTGTGAAACTCAATGACGACATAGCACGAATTAACTGGTATACTATCATCGCAAACAAAAAAGACGATATTGATAAACTTTTTATCACCTTTTACGACAAACTCAACAATGTAATCAACGAACACGCTCCCTGAAAACCAGTCTCTAATCGTATGAAAAACAGTCCTCTAAGCCATGGATAACAAAAGAAATGGCCGACTGTGATTGGCTAAGAAGCACTTTCAGCGGTCCATTTTTTTCCTAACAAACGCATGCATTTTAAAACAAAACAGTAAAACTAATTGAAAATTTGAAAATTATAATTTAATTTCTTATTAGTAAGATATCTGTGAATGGTTTTTAGTGGAAAAGAAGGAATACATTGGTATTTTTTATTTTCTTCGACCAAATGTGTACAACGCTACTAATATGCATTTCAAATCGTGCATTTCTTGTTTGTTTCAAGTATAAATGCCTATAAATGCCATATAATAAACTTTTTATTAACCTCGCTTGCTCGTTATGTACAGAGAAATGTCGAACCTCGGTCTTTTTGTGCAAACCTCGCCCTACGGGCTCGGTATGTACAAAAAGACCTCGGTCCGATATCTCTCTGTACAGACCTCGCGTTCGGTTAATAAAAAGTTAATAATGCTTCCTTTGTTTTGTGCTGTCAGTATACTGGGCTACTTTCTACAAGTAAATAAGGAATAATTTCTTATTATACATCGAGCACATCTTATTTAATTTCATTTTACTATCCGCCTCGATTAGCTTCGCTATTAGCGGACAGTATACAAATAATGAATGTTTATGAGTGCAATGGTAAGAATATTTTCATGAGGTGAAAGATGGAATGTTCCATTCAACGAGGCGACAGCCGAGTTGAATGGAACATTCCATCTTTCACCGAATGAAAATATTCTTACCATTGCACGAAAAACATTCATTATTTGTTTTATATAATACCAAAATAGACTAATAGATTCGTATGAGAAGCATTTTGAGGGATGCGATTTATCGAAAACACAAAGAGTGCAATTGTACTATACGTTTTATTCCATTGCACTCGCAGAGAGTGCAATGGAACGTATTCCATTGCACTCTTGGGAAATGGAATTTTCTATTCAATATCACGTGACCATAAACAGCCAATTAAACGATCAGAATTCAATAAGGTATTATATAATATTGTATATACAGATTGATATTTATGTTATTGTATATAACCCAGATTAATCTTAAGTATTTATAAATTAAAGTTTCTTTTTAATGTTTTTATTAACTGTGAGGTCCATGGCCACCTGCACAAAAATAAATTCTACAGGCACAAAACCGTGAATGAATGGACCTTTCCCCTGCCTCGTACCCAGGCGTCTCTTTGTAAAAAAACAGTGATGCCCATATGACGTGTTTACATGAAGTATTGTAGTGGGGAGAGATGGCGAAGGGGCTGAGTACCCTTCCCAACAGCCCCTTCGCGCGTCGGATGCCTACCTGAATACTTCATGTAAGCGCCTGGGTACGAGGCAGGACCTTTCCCCTTATAACTAAAATTTCGATCTAGACAAAAATTTCATCACAGCTTGAAAGAGCATCACAAAATTGGTAATATTCCAAAGTTTCGTTGCGAAATGTTGTAAAATGCGGATAATATAGCCTTGAGAAGTTTGCCGTTTTTCAGTCATTTTGTATTACGCATGGGAAATTGACAGCCCAATCGGGTGTTGGGGCATCAATTCCCCGTTTGTAATACAAAATGACTGAAAATTGCAAATTTCGCAAGGCTATATTATCCACATTTTACAACATTTCGCAACGAAACTTTAGAATTATACTAATTTGGTGATGCTCTTTCAAGCTGTGATGAAATTTTTGTCTAGATCAAATTTTAGTTATAAGGGGAAAGGTCCATTGATGTTTCTAGCGTGGTGTTGCTTTAACAAACCTTTTTCTTCGGGTCAAAGTTCATATTGGGCAAAATATGACGATAGAGACACGCTAATATCATTCCGTGTGGAGTCACATCCATGTCCGGGTCTCCTATGTGAGGATTATCACACAGTTCTTGCGCATCATTCTTACATGCTCGATATAAAGCCTCATCCAGTCTACAAAAAGAAATGAAGGTAAACACGCTTTGTACTTACGCAAATTAAAATATAAAGACCGATTTACACCACACAGCTTTTGTAGTCAGACAGTGGTTTCCTTTGCTGTTCGCAGTGCTCTCCTTAAGGCAGATTTACACCGCACAATTTTTGCCTAGTCGCAGTCAACCTGCTTACAACTTGAGTTGTACTGTGTAAATCAAGCATACAACTCGAGTTGTGTGCTTGATTTACACAGTACAACTTGTACAGTACAACTCAAGTTGTAAGCAGGTTGCATTCGACAGTTTTAGGCAAAAGATGTGCAGTGTAAATCGGCCTTAATGGAGAGCACCATCGTATGGAGTGGAAAATACGCCGCCTAAACGATGTCTGTTTTCGACCACTAAGGGACTGGTCATAATTTATCAGGGGGGGGGGGTGGGGAGGTGTAATTCAAAATTTTAAGGAATGATATTTTGTGACCCTGCTTTGCCATAACCCGGAAAAATAATGCCCCCCCCCTCTCTTGCTCGTGTCAGTAAAAATGTACCTACCTACTACTAAACCCTGCATTCAATAAATTTTCTAATTGCATTTTCTAGTTAATGCACTTTAAATCAAATACTAAAATTTATATTATACCAATACATAGTCACATATAAAACTTTAGTTTTTTCAAACTTTCATTCTAAGTTTAAAGAATCAATTTTTTTCAATGCAACTCAAACAAAATGTGAGAAGGCATGTATAAAACAATTAATTGAACTAAAACAGCAGACCCCCTCCCCGCCTTCATAGACTGTCTAATATTTTATGAACCCCCCTTTTTTCCTGGCTAAAAAATATGTGACCCCCCTCACTGTTTCCACCTCCCCCACCCCTCCTGCTAAATTATGACCAGTCCCTAAATAGCTGGGGCTGGTTGTATAAAACTCTTAATCACTTTTTTAATCACTATTTTGTAGTTAAATAGTGATCAACTCTCAAATACGCGCTTCTTATTGGATGACGTTTCCACTAACTATAAAGTTAACTTTAATCACTTTTTATACAACCAGCCCCTGTATTTTAAGAAGGGAAAAGACTAAAAACTTTCTACCATACCTGAAATGTAATACAAAACATGTTTCCATGCAGAACGTAGAGCAGTTTTACAGTTATTTTTTCACGAATTAAAGTGCGAAGTTATTTTCGGCACGTTCAGACTTGTGTAATATTTTGAATATCAAGCTGTTACCCAGGAAGTTTTTGTTGTTAGTGGATGTAAAATACTTAGAACTATCCAGGAAACCAGGTTTGAATCTTTAAAGTTGAAGCCTTTTGATAAAAATGTGCTTTTTAATTCTTGCTGATTTTCACTCAAAAACAAACTTTTGACTGAATTTCCCGCTCCTCGAAACTCTCCCCAGTCCTTTTGAAAGTTAATTTATTGCTCGCTGAGCCTCGCGAAAAGCGCCACCTTAGCTTCAGGCAAGTATGGGTATGTTTATCTGCAGTTAACGTTCCAGTGTTATTACAGTTCACTGGCCTTAACTGATGTCAGATACACGAGAACGAGGCTCTATAGCCAAAGTGACGTACTTCCTCGAAGGGTGTATTCGCCAGGAAATGGCCTTCCTTCCTACCTGCGTCAAGAAAAATCAATAAGCTTACCTCTACTCCAATAAGCCCCTTCCAGCCTGGCTGAAATTAATAGCCTCCCGCATACTTTACTACATGTAAAACTTACTGAAAGTCTCTCGCAAGGAAAAACTGTAAATTTATTAAATGTTCACGACACACTCCTCCTAAATCTTTATGATCCACATTCTCCATCAGACAAGATAAAACACTAAAACAGAACAAATATTAAGTCAAAGTTTGTTCGTTCACTGCAACCAGGTATATCAATCATGTTTCGCTCGCTACTCTGATTTAAATGAATGATTGCAAAGCCCAGTCGAATTGTAATCAAGAACCAACGTTTCGACAGTCCAGTCTAGTGTCTTCATCAGGGGTGATCCTCTGGGGGTGATCTAAAGTTGCAATCGTGGCTTCTTAAGGTTACAGGACACCCTTTTTGGCGTTTTGTGGAAAACACCCGATTTGGATATCAATTTCCCGTTTGTAATCTAAAAGGACTGAAAAACGGCAAACTTCGCAGGGCTATATATTATCCGCATTTTACAACATTTCACAACGAAACTTCGGAATATTACTAATTTTGTGATGCTCTTTCAAGCTGTGAAATTTTTGTCTAGATCAAAATTTTAGTTATAAGGTTAAAGGTCCATTACCCGTTGTATAATTTATGCATAATACATACAGAACTTAATTCGCTGGGGGAGGTGTGCTGTCTTCTAGTCTAGTTATTTATCTATCTCGTGCCTCTCGTTCATAGCACTTCTTTCTTGTGCTATTGTACTTTATCCTGAAGACTACGTAAACGACAGATGTCTTTACAGTTACTACTTACGCCATGTCATTGTTAGCATCACGACACAGTTTATAAGCTGGTGCTTGACATTGTTTACGTAATGTTGCAACAACTTTGAAGTCGCCTCCCGCACCAGTCGCTTTAAGCAAATCACTGATCTAAAAGTAATGAAACATATTGCATAAATAATTGAAACTTTTGTTTGCGATGTTGTCTCTGAGTGTGTTCACACCGGCTTGACCGCGGTGGGAATCGAACCCGCGACCTTTGGTTTGCCAGTCCAATGAAACTTCTGAAAGTTGTCTGAGTACCAAACTAAACAATAGCTTGAACTGAAAATGTGTTCTGATTTAGGTCATAATTGAGACATAACCATCCTCATGATCAGTCTAGATTATAACAATAGGCAATTCCAGCTTTTAAGTTATGTACGCAGGGGGTGATGGGAAGTAAGGTATCCTATTGCTGCTTATGCTGAAAATTTCAATAAAAACTGCCGAAACAACCGAAATATTTCAATATTTACAAGTATAAGTTATCACTCCGTGTTAACACGGCCGTTATTTTTATTTTGGCAGCATATGATACCTTACTTCCCATCCTCCCCTGCGCGCAGAAACTAAAAGCTGGAATTGCCTATTTCGCTTCAATTTCGCAGCTAGCAGAGTTGTGTGTAGGTTATACTAAAACTGTCTGTACCAGTGTGGGTAGTACCAATGTGAAATTGCTGTGCTGAGTGGTTATATTACTACCTGGAAAAAACTAGACTTGCTCCAAGTGGCCCAAGTCTCTCTTTCATTGTCATATCGATCCACTATAGTGTACATTACATGACGTAGCACGGAGAGGCGGAGCGAGAAAGAGAGACTTGTCAACTTCGGAAAATCTCGGTTCAAAACTGAACCGAAAATTCAAGACTTGCTTTAATTGTTTTCTGTCAGTGTTTATATGTATTGATCTAGCACAGTGTAAATAACATGAGTTCCATTATAGTAAATAATAAAGAAAGAAATTGAAGGAAAACAATTAAAGCAAGTCGTGTATTTTCGGTTCAGTTTTGAACAGAGATTTTCCGAAGTTGACAAGTCTCTCTTTCTCGTTCCGCCTCTCCGTGCTACGTCATGCATGTAATGTACACTATAGTGGATCGATATGACAATCAAAGAGAGACTTGGAGCAAGTCTAGGAAAAAAACAAGCAGAAATTCGACGTTTCGAGCGAAGGCCCTTGACCTTGTGTGTAGGTTGCGTGATTTCCATATTTAGCTGTAAGCTACAGGGCAACCAGAAGACACGTAGTCGCTACAGTGTATAATATAATTTAAGGTATTGGGGAAGTGTTTATGAACGCACCGCTTCATAACAATCATGACTGAATTCAATTTGACTATCTATTCCATTCCTCTCCATCGCTTTTTCCATTAAACAATCAAGAGTCTTTCCTCCCTTTTCAACACGAACACAATGTAGTTTGATTTCCTTCTCACATCTCGCGACAATAGCTGGGTTGACGGAGTAATCCTCCATTAATTCTTTTTGAAGTTCTTTCATGTGTTGTTGACATGTTCCACTGACCGTCTCACCTACATGAAGGGGATGGGCATTAGGGGTATAGAATTATTCGCTATCCAGCTGGATACCAGATATACCGGATAGTTGAAAAATATCCGGCTAGATACTGAATATTCTTGATATAAGGTTTGGGCCCTTTTTACGGTTAGGGTGTTTATAATATTTTGACTTGAGTTGAAATAAAAGGAAAGAACTTCACAGTCTAGCATCGATAAACCTGCATATAGTTGCAAAAGCCTTGCCGACAAAGTTCAAAGGTAAAACCCACTTTTTCGCAAAAAGCACTTCTCTATACGATCGGTAAAAAGCACTGCTCTGCGATCATCATTTCAAGTGAAAATATAAATATGTTTGTGATATTTTCTGTGTTGGTGTAATGTACTCGGGTGAATAAGATGCTTGTGATGTTACTCTGAGCGTATATCCACACCAGGCAGGCTTGAAAAATATGCCTGGCCACGGTGGGAACCGAACCTACGACCTTTAGAATACTAGCCCAATGCTCGAAATATCACACACTCGAACCGACCTGACCGCGTAGCTCAGTTGGCAGAGCATTGGGCTGGTATTCCAAAGGTCGTAGGTTCGATTCCTACCGTGGCCAGGCATATTTTTCAAGCCTGCCCGGTGTGGATATACACTCAGAGTAACATCACAAGCATCATAAATATGTTTGAAGCGAAACCAGGGTTATTCATAATAAGTTTGTAGATATTCTCTGGTTTTTAAATATTTACTTAGTACGAGCTTACGGCAGTCGAAAGCTTGTACTAAATAAATATTTAAAACCAGAGAACGTCTACAAACTTATTATTATAGACATCCCTACATTTTTAAACACATCAGATTATTTTTAACCTCAAAACAACGCCTGAACCTTTTTTAAATGATATCTGGCACATTCTGCAATCTGATTGGTTCTCTACTAGCAGGATATTAGCTTATATCCTGCTAGTAGAGAAAAACAAAATGGCGGCTAAAATTGAATTTCTGATGTTTTGCGAACGAGAAAACGGCAAGTTGTTCGCTTTTTATAGCCCTTTCAGGATTAAAAACACAATGAAAAAACTCCCACAAATTGTTTACAGGTTACGAAATGAATTTTTAAAATTTAAAATGGTTAAAAATATATATTTTGGAAAAAATAATCGGCCGAAAGAGCGAAGATAAAAACATAAACAAAATAGAAAAACATTGAAAATATCCGAAAAGCAAAGTCTGTGAATTCAAACCTTGTGTATATAATAAAACAGTTATTCCACTCACTCTCGTCGAATATGAGCGATAGCCGATTCGGCGCTACGCGCCTCATCGGCTATCAGCTCATATTCGACTCGAGTTCGTAGAATAACTGTTAAATACACGAGAGTTTTCTCCGGATTCAAATGTTTCCGGAAACGTAATTCCCACAAACTTTTCCGGATTCAAAGTTTCCAGATACGGCACGAACCGAGAAGATTTGCTGTCGGATTCGTAGCTGCGTGTGTAAACGGCAACATGAATCCGGTACTAAAACGTTCCGGTTTCGTGATAAATCCGAAAACTTTTGCTCTAGTGTAAACGGGGTCTGTTAAGCATCCATGTAGACATAGTCTTTGCCAGAATTGAGCCTCCATATCACAGAGGTGAATGTTACACGCACTATATAACAACTGTACTTGCAACACTTCACTTGTTAGTCAGCTATAACCTACCATCATTGATCGCTGTCTCTAAACACAATAACACATAAGCCAGTGCGGCAGGCGAACCACCCGTAGGATGACATTTATGTACTTCAATAGCATCTTTACAACTTTCAAAAAATGGGAAATTGGCCTAAATACAAGCAGAATGTGAAGTTACAAACATATATTGTGAAGTTACGAAATGCAGGAAAACACGACATAGACACTGGCTTACCTTGTAGTTTTTTGCTTCAAGTTTTTGCTTTGTTGTTAACTTCTGTCGACACTAAACATAAAAAAGAAATTCACATCATACACTCATACTGAGGTAATCCTGAAATTAACTCATAAGACGGTGGTCAAGTGGAAGTTGTCAGAGAGCAACTGAAAATAATAAACAGTTATTGGATAAGGTTTTTGTGATATCCAGAATTATCAAGGTCGAGGTATTAAAGTGTTATCAGTCGAGCCGAAGGTGAGATTGATAACACTTACTGAGACCTTGATAATACAGGACTTCAATGATGTGGTTACTTGCATTTCACTTGGCGGAATTCATATTAGAATGTTAGGGTTTGTAATCCAAGTGAGAATATATACATTTTAAGACCTGACCAGGAACGATTGCGAAAATTGCAGCACAAGGTCCTCTGGTAGGAAATGATAATACACCCTTTCATAATCACCCTTGATAATACACCCTTTCGATAATTACGTCCCACATACTTTTTGGTCCTGGAGCCTCGCTCTCATCAGTAAATTACGCAAGGTGATTGGCTCACGATTCATGAGAGCGAGGCTCCCAGGCCAAATGACGTAATTATCAAAAGGGTGTATTCTGGAGATCACCATCCTCGGTCCCAGGGCCTCACGGCTGACACTAAAATAACTGTTTTATTCATACATTGCATTTTTCGACAACTCTTTCGACAAACAATGATTTGTGGAACAAAACAACATTTGGTTCTCAAAAATAAGCAGTGAAAACGATCATGCCTGCGACCTTTGCAGCGGGGAGTCCCTGACGTCACCCAGAACAGTGGCAATTCTCGTGCATCTGTCACTTTGCTACAGCTTGCCTAGCCAGCAACAACTGCTATTTTGCTCTGTTAAAAATGTTTTGCTATTGCGTGTTATTATTACTTGTTACTTTACTCAACATGCCTCGGCTAACTAGATTCATATCATATCATATTATCAAGGATGGGTTGACTACATTACTACAAAATTTTTGTAGTTCGCTATAACTACAGCTACTTCAAAAATATGTAGTCAGCTACAACTACTGCTACTTTTGAACAAAGGTAGTTCGCTACTGACTACAGCTACTGCTTAAAAAATGTAGCGAACTATTTCGCTACGCTATCTTTTTAGTTTTACTGTTTTTGGAGCATCTATACTAACTCAGGCTGAAATGTAACCTATAACAAATCGACTTACGAGTAGCAACAGTAAACACAAAGCAACATAATAATTTTTGTAATCACTACAGTGTTCAGGAGTGCAAATTGACTATTGAGTATCGATTTTAAGCAAACCGTGTCTCAATATCATGCTATTCTATCAAGTTGTTAACAATTTTTAAAAGTAGCGAATAGCGATTTGCTGTTTGAAAAGTAGTCAACTACTTGGCTACTTTTAGGCAAAA